TGTACGAGCGACTGGAACGCGTCGAAAAAGGCTAACCAATTTGTAGGGTCTCCACTGAAAGTCGGCAGCTGTAACTTGGGCAGTTGAACTGGCGAGGACGTGAAACTTGTTGATGTGGAAGGGCGCGGTTGCTCAGGGCTTCCGATGAGGCGTTTAAAATTCGCCTTTGCTGTGATGTACCACTCTTCTGCCTGCGTGCGTGATTGCTCTTCAACCGGCGCACTTTCTTCGCCGCACAACAACTCTACTTCTTGTTGAGCGTCAGCGAATCTGACCCACTGCTCCTCGAGAAGCTGAAGATACGTTTCTACTGCTTCTTTGTCTAATGCCAACGCATCATTTTTGCTGATTACAACATATCGTTTGATTGCGTTTAATGCAGAATCACGCACCTTCACTTTGGATATGGCCTGATTGGGGTTATGTCACACACGTGTAAATGTTGTTACGAAATTTGCGCTTAAAATCGCACTTATGCAAGCGAGAGCGTGGAAATCAATTTATAAGCGTTTTTGCTCTTGGTTTTAAATGTTCTTAAGCCAGTACAAGCTTGTTAAAACGTATTTAAGGACCGTATTTTGACCCAAATTAATCAACGCGATCCCGGACGAAGGACCAATATGTTGCGTACAAAAGCGAAAAAGCGTATTATTACAAAAGTCCGATTGTACGCAAATAAATGCAGTTTACACGAAAGCGGGTGATATAAAAGCGGATTATATTAGATTTTAAAAGCGGTTTATTCAATTATACAGCGGGTTACAACGATAGATAAAAAGCGAATATTAACTAATGACATTTTCCTTTTCTACTATTTACATTCCATTTTCCCTTATTCCATTGGAATAACAAAGCAAAACAGAGTTGCCATATGGGCACGAACATTTCTGTTACTTTAACAATTCTGTTTTATTAATAAAAACACAAGTTTCATTGTTGGAATCAACGAATAAGTAATTTTATTTATAACTGGAATTTTTAATTCAAATCAAAGCATATGAAACAGGTATATAGTAGCATTAGATAGCACTAGTTTACAATAACCAATAACACTAGTTTACAAGAAAGCTGACCTCTAGCATCCTACCATAATCTTTTACGTAAATTTTCCCACTTAATCCACATGCAGTCAGCGTCAAAAGTATGAGTACCCAGACGTTTCTTTATTTATATTTTCCATACCAAATTATTCTTATTTTTTTATAAAAATATAGTTAGTTCAACAGCAAAAACCAGCAGAATCAATTTTTCCAATCTCATATATAACTCGGGAAAATTCAAGGCCTACCAAAAAATTGTCATAAAAATTTTCAACTTTTCAATTCCATTTCTTAGAAAAATTCTGTGTATGCAGTTTTGTAGCCCATTCAATTCTAGTATAACAAGGTTCAAGTCTATAAAAATTACCGTTGATTTTTGAGAATTTTTTTTCGAGGGTGTTGCACATTTTCTTCCATATAAAAACATGAAGCGTTATATGGAAGAAAATGCGAGACACCTTTGACAAAAAATTTTCAAAAATTAATGGTAATTTTTAGAGACTTAAAAGTTGCGCCCTATTATATTAAAGTGTAATGAGCTACAAAACTGCATACCCAGAATTTTTCTAAAAAATGGAATCGAAAAGTTGATAATTTTTATGACACATTTTTGGTTTTAGTTTTCCCCGAGTTATATATAAAATTTAAAAAATCGGTTCTGCTGGTTTTTGGTGTAAAATGAATTATATTTTTATAACAAAATGAAAACAAAAATGGTATGGAAAATATAAATGAAGAAAATCGTCAAAACATCAGGGTATTGATATTTTTGACCCTGACTGTATATCGTCAGATATAAAGAAAGTTTTCGAAATATTCCATTTCGGCTTTTTTAAATCTGGAAAAATTTCACTCAAGTACAAATTTTTGGACATACGGATTTTTTTTGGATGTAAAGGCATGATATTTTATAAATACATTAAGACAGCTTATCTAAATTGAATAATACATAAATGTGAAAATTAAAGGCACTTGGGTAAAAATACATACAAAAGGCTTTCATAAAAATCTTAATGTCTTAATGTATTTATAAAATAACATGCCTTTACATCCAGGAAAAAATAAAGTTATCAAGCTCTTTTATGATAATATTTTTAATAATATTAATTCAAAGAAACTCAAGATTTTTTTTTTGTAAAATTTTTTTATACATTATGTGACCAATTTAGTCTACCTTCATTGTTAAAATATGTCATGAACTCCTGCCGAATAGCTTCTGCTTCTCCCCTTCGCGGATTGTATTGACTTGAAGCTGCAGTAACTCTCTCGGCTCTACCATTATTTACATTAGACAATGTACTATTTGAAGTTAAAAAATTGTGTAGAACGCAGCATGCGAAGTAACACTTTCTACTGTTTCGACTTTCAAATTCATCGGAGCGAGAAAGATGCGAAATCAGTTAGCCAAAATGCCAAACGCGTGCTCAACAACATGCCTGGCGCGTGAAAGTCGGGAATTGAAAACTTGCTTATCACGGCAGTTAGAGTGATAAGGGTACGGCTTCATTAAGTGCTTCTGCATGGGAAAAGCATCATCGCTAACAACAACGAACGGAAGACTCCGGTTATTACCGATGGTAGCATTCTTGGGTGTTCCTCTTTCTTCACGTAAAAATGTGGAGAGCTTGCTTTGCAAAAATACGCCCGCATCATTATTGCGCCCATTGCATCCGATGTCGACAAAAATGAATTTACAGTTCGCATCGACGAGCGCTAATAAAACAATGCTGTTCGTTCCTTTATAATTGTGGTAGAATGCTCCATCTTTGCGAAGTGGTCGGAAGGTGATGTGCTTGCCATCTAAAGCACCGATGCAATTTGGGAATGCCACTTAATAGCAAATTCGTACGCTATCGACTCCCGTTCAGAAGGACTGTTGGGAAACTAAGTATACAACAATGTATACAACAATTGATACTGCGCTACATGCCAAAATATTTATTTAAAATTGATACCTTCATATGTAAGCCTTTTAGTCTACACCAAATAGTCGCACACTGCCGGGTCTATGCCACATATTGCCGATTTTGATAATTTCGAATGAAAGCTTAAGCTTTGATATGTTTCTCCTGTATAAGTGATTCGCTTATATGGTTATTAAATACATACATTCTAAGGGATCATGATGCCATATTACAGCTTACCAGTGCACTATGGTCCCAATTTCGTTTTTTTTGGCATAAAGTCGTAGGAACAAGGTATCTAGCTGAAACTTCGCTCATATATTTCTCATACTATACTAATTTAACTGAAATATTTTTTTCCCGTAAATTGCCACGCCCACATCTTATATCCATTTTTTCATTTTTTTCAGAGGCAGTTCCATTATTTAGGGCATATCTCCAGTTACAAATAACCAATTCCTTCGTTTCATATATCGAATTAAAGGCAATTAAGTGATGGATAAATGTCTTAAAACTTTTTTAGCGTTTCGAAGTCCGTTTGAAAAGTACCAAATGCAAAAACTGTCTTCAAAGCAGTGTATTTTTCATTTATTAACTTATTTTAAATAAAGTTTACAAAAAAAAACCATAGTAACTAATTATTTTTTCTTTTTTGTTAACAAATGATAATACAGTTTGGCAAGGCTATAATCCATCTGACATGGTTATAACAAATTTAGGTCCAATTTTTTATTTCAGCAGGCTTATTTATTTATAAAAGTCTTGTAGGTTTAATCGCTCCAGTTATCGGCATCTAAATCAAAAAGAGTATATTTCAATATCCGTTTTCGGCTCGTCCGAGTATGTGCTATCTGATTCGTTTTCAGAATTCAAATCTTTTGGAGAGGACGACAGCTGATTGTATTTGTGGGTATGTAATTCACTAGGGGGTTCTAATAGCGCTATTACGTCATGAGGTAATTTCTCTCGTTTTTGCAATTTCTGTCTAACAGACAAGCACAAGGAAGACAAAAGTGGATCCGAAGAGTCCATTGACCTATTAAAAACATCACACATGTTATTTTTTCTGTTGTTTTTTCTTGCGTGTGCGATTCTATCCTTCTTGTAATATTTATTTCTAGCTTCTGAAGCATTTTCGCCGAAACAGCCAATTGGAAGTACTGAATTTGAAATAATTTCTGAACCGTGCACTAAGACTTTGTGAACTGTTGCCGACATTGGGTACCAAAAATACCTCTCCATGTGTAATGAAGCCGCTTTTTTGCACAAGTGTTCANAACTTTATGAACTGTTGCCGACATTTTTCTTCTTCTTCTTATTTGGCGCTGTAACCGCCTAAGCGATTTTGGCCGAGTCCAAAACAGCACGCCAGTCATTTCTCTTCTGTGCTAACTGACGCCAATTGAAAATGCCAAGTGA